GCATACGCGATTTTTTGTCATAGGCTGTAGTACCCATTACGAATTTCAATTACGAAATTTTAAACAACTCCGGTTAATATCATCAAAATACCGAATATCGGAAATATATGGGGGTTATACTAAGACTTGAACCTGCATACGCGATTGCCATAGGCAAATTTGAAATAATTGTGGTAAAAAATATTCCTTAAATCATCAAAATACCGACTGTTGGGTGGTAGCGTTATATGGGTGCTATATGAATACGTGGACCTATATGACCCATTTACAAACTTAACCTGCATGTTGGCAAAATACACATGCGTGCAAAATTTTAGCCTTCTATCTCAGTTCGTTCAAAAGATAGCCTGATTACAACAGTCAGACGGACATCGCTACATCGACTTAGAATGATCAAGACTATACGAAACCGTCACACGCTGCCCTAATGTTCCTCTGCGGTATTTTGGTCCATTCCCGGCGAAGCGCTTGCTTGAGGTGATCGACACTACGGTATTTTCTATTGCCAACCTTTCTTTCCAAAATACTCCAGACACAATAGTCCAAAGGATTGGTATCCGAAAATTTTGGTGGCCATTGCGCGCTGGAAATGAAGCGAGAGACCTCATTTTGTAACCATTCTTGGGTGGCGCGTGCTGAGTGTCCAAGGTCAAAATGTTTGCGTGCCCAAGGCTTTATTCTGATGAGACGGTCGATTAATACGAACGGAGAGCGACCATCGCCTGTTATGGTGGCCCACATTATCACCATGGCCGGCGCTTGAGTTCTGGTGGCCAATCTAAGGTGCACATTTTCAGCTGACTTCTTTGGCAAGTAAACACGATCATTTTGTTTGTTTACAAAATGCTGGACAGCGAATGTTTTCTCATCGGAGACGGAGAAAACCAAATTCGGCAGTTCACCACTTTCGGCCAAGCGAAGCAACTTTTTAGCTCATTTGAGCCTATTTTCTTTCTGTTGCGGTGTAGTTCTTGCACTTTTAGAATCTCAATGGCGTAGCAAAAAAATCTTAGAAAAGCGGTCATTAAATATTTCGCTTTTAAATCCCAATTATTGTAGTTTCAATTGAGTGGATTAATCCTCTACATGTTTAAAAAAAATCCTCCATGTTCCATCTGTGTCTCTCAAGTGCCATCTGTGTCTCTACGTTTCCTTTCAAAGTTTGTTGAAAACTTAATGGCCATTTGTGGTTAACCATGTTGTAGAGACTACTTCGGTGATATCGTCAAAGAGAAATGAACACAGACAACAACAACGACACTGACATGCCACTCTCATTTAAAGGCTCTAACCAATTTTGCGGTTGTTGTGTCCTTGCAGCAAACTTGTTTCCTCGATGGGAAATCATTGATATCTAAGAGGCCAGGCATATGCAAATAGAAACCGCTTAAAGTGTACGGAAAAGGAGAAACGCAAGTTGAGGATGGTTAGAAATTGAGAAAGTAAATGCAAGAGACTAATTGGTATCAAATAATGGAATTGATAGAATCAATTTAATTGGGGGTTTACTCAGAATATCATTAGGGTTCCAAAAAAAATAAAATAACCATACCCCAATAAGAAACGACAGAACAATGATGAGATCCACAGTCACCAATGCAGGATAAGAAATTTTAGATATTTTGAAGGAAATGTTTCTAACCACACTAGCCTATTTAATTAAATTGATAATTTTTTTCAATCTTTGCTACTAACTACTCTCTGATATATATTCTTTAGCCGTAGTCTTTTGCAATTGTGATTGCGAATACTTTCGTTCTAATAGAGGTAAATTGGTCATGGTTGGAAGAGATTAATTAATTAAGATGCTAACAGTTTTTATGAAATTATGACCTAGGTATATTGAGTATTTGGTATTCCAATAAGGACCAAAATTGCTGAAACTGCAGAGATTTCGAAAATGTATATGCGAATTACATTGAACAAATTTTTTCGTAATGGTTGCTTTTGTTCTGAGGCAGAGAGACTTGGTGTATTTTCCTGAATATAGTTGCTACGGAGTGCATATTATGGCTGTGGGTAACAAGTACAACAAATCGGATGAACAATATATATGGATCTGAACCGATCTTCACCAAATTTGGCACACTGGCTTCTAGACTCAATTCGTAAGTGCCAAATTCCATCCCATTTGGAAAAATATTAGACGTTTAGTGCACAATAAAAAGGTAAATCGGACGAAGTTATATATGGGAGCTATATCCAAATCTGAACCGATCTCGATAAAATTTAGCAAAGGTATTTCTGAGCTCTATTTGATATATTTCCCCAAATATTGTTGTTACAGAGTGCATATTACGGCTTCGGAGGACAAAAATAACAAATCGGATGAACAATATATATATACATATTTTCAGACCTAATCTGGTTGTATGTGCAAAATTCCATTCCATTCTTTTTGGGCTGATATTACACGTTTGGTGCATAATAAAGGCAAATCGGACGAAGACATATTTGGGAGCTATATCTAAATTTTGACCGATTATCTCAAATTTCAATAGGGTTCGTCCTTGGGCCAAACAAATGATTTTTGCAAAATTTCATCCGGATAGGGCAATAAATGCGAACTGTACTTTGTTTACAAAATTACATGGACAGACGGACGGACATGCATAAATGACTCAGAATGTGATTCTATGCAGATCATCAAAAGGAATTATGGGTCTATCTCGTTTCCTTTTGCCTGTTACAAACAAATGCACAAAGACATAATACCCTGACCACCTTGTGGTGTAGGGTATAAACAGTCAAATTCAAAAGTAACAAAGCAGAAAGTTCGGCCGGGCCGAACTTTAAATAAAATGAATAAAATCCGTTAAAATCTTAAAAATACCGAATATAGCCATTATATTGGGGTGTAAACGAGACGTGGTGAATAATGTAGCAAAAATCATCGAAATGCCGAATACCGTTATATCTGGGTTGTAAAGGTTGTAGTTCTTATTATGAACTTCAAATACGAAATTTCAAACAATTTCGGTGAATATTATACCCAAAATCGTCAAAATACCGAGAATATAGGGATACATGTGGCCTATACGAAGACCTGGACCTGCATAGATAATTTTTTGTCATAGACTGTAGTACCCATTGTGAATTTTAAATACGAAATTTGAAACAACTCCGGTGAATAATGTCCGTTAAAAAATGTGGTTTAGAAAATGTGGACTGACATGACCGACATACACATGTGTGCAACATTTTAGCCTTCTATCTCAATTTTTTTTCAATTGCTTCCAACCACAATTTCTGTTTTTTTTTTTAGATTTTAAGTACTTTCATGAATTTTTAAGAATATATTTCTAGGAATTCCCTTTTTATAAATCAAGTTTTTTCGAGTATAAGGTTCTTATAAAATAGTGTAAAAATGTGTGTATTTTTTAGAAATATTTCAAGGACCTCCCTCCAAAAATTGTGAATTTTTTCGAGGACTTCCTCGCAAAAATCTATGCAAATAAAAGAGAAGTGAAAATAACGGAATAAGCTATAATTTTGATTGAATGAGAGTCACTGATGGATTGCAGGATAGATGTATCAAAAAGTTTTGGGAAATTCAAACTTTAAGGTTACGAAAAGTTCTAAAATGGTACAAAACTTCTAAAATGGTACCTCTTGGTATTATGTGGACGGATAGAGCTAAAAACTTGAAATTTTGTATGAGCATCTAGGATGGAAAGTATATTTGATATATGAAGGTGGTTTGCTGGTATTTGCTGGTATCTAAAATTGAGGTATGGAGGTGGTTTTAGAAAAATGTATTATGATTGTACGAAATGTACTAAATAGTACTACATTTGGTATTGGGTGTAGGGATTGGGCTGAAATCCTAAGATTTTACATAAAGTCTCTGCTGGTATAATAAATTGAGGTATGGAGGCGGTTTTGGAAATGTGTACTATAATTGTACAAAAAGTACAAAGTAGTACTTAATTTGGTATTGGGTGAAGGAATAGTGCTGAAATCCTTAAATTTCATATTCAGGTCTCTGTTGGTTTCTGAAATTGAGGTATGGAGGTTGTTTTGGAAATATGTACTATGATTGTACGAAAAGTACTTAATTTGGTAGTGGATGAAGGGGTAAGGCTGGAATACTTAAATTTTATATTCAAGTCTCTGTTGGTATCTGGGATTGAGATATGGATGTGGTTTCGTAAATATGTACTATAATTGTACGAAAAGTACTGAATGGTACTTTATGTGGTATTGGATGGAGGAATAGAGCAGAAACCGGTCTAGGATTGAGATATGAAACGGTTTTGAAAATCAGTACTAAAATTATACGAAAAGTACTAAATGTTACTTATTTTGTATAGAACCAGAATCTCTAAGTTTGATATTATGGTCTCTGTTGGTCTATTATTCTTACCGAAAAAGGAAAAACGTGAATAATTTATAAAACCTTGAAGCTCTGAAAGTTTATGAATGATATATGAAGTTTTGATTAATAAAAAGGCCTAACACGGACTGTTGGAACGGATCTAAAATTTTAAGGTGGACTTTTCGCTGAAGAAGTATCGGACACTTGCTAATAAAAAACCTTTGAGAATATTTCTCAGGGCTCTTCTTTGTGGATTTTTAATAATATTCCCTTTTTTAAAAATTACAACAAACTCGTGTTTACTTGTTCTACATTATGAAATTATTATTATTTTTTTTTTTAATAATTTCCATTCGTCTCAAGGCCTTCTTCGGAGGCATACGAAACGATTACTGTACTTTTCAAGCACTTGACAAATTGCAATTGCCCACATCATACTTTCGTTTTGAATCGAATGCATTCGTTAATGACATTAAAATAGAAAAAAGAAAAATTAAATACCCACAAACACACACACACACACACTACTCACTTAGCCTACATTGCCGGTGCAAAGAAGTCAAAGTAATTAAAAGTATTTTTCCAGTATTTCAATTAAATTGCAATTCGCAAAACTATCTGGTAAAGGCAATCCATTGGCATTTAAAAAATAATGAATGTTTTCTATTTGCATTTATTACAGGAATATTCTGCGAAGTGCAGTTTGAAGGCCTGGCTGAACAGTGAATGGCAGCAGCAACTACTGGTGCCGCCGCCGATGGTGAAAAAAACCACCCCATTGCAAGCGAAAAATAAAACCAACAAAGCCCAAAGGTCAGCAATTGCATGTGGAGGGGCGAGCTTCCGGCCAGCAGTTTTACTAGCCTAGTCTCACAAAATACATTCGGAATAAAAAGGGAACAAAACAACCCAGAAACGACTTCCTCTGCCTCGGGAGCATAAATTCATATAAATCAAAAATGTCAATTTCCACAAGCCAAGTGTAAAAGTTTCTGCGGCGATAAAATGAATCTGAACATCCTTACCCCCCAAATGGAACGGGTGCCGGCCATTGATGAGATAATTCATGTGGCCAGTGGCCTAACAACGAACTTTACCCGCAATGTGTTTGGCATAGCCAATTCCACAATGAAACTATTAAATAGCCCTGCGAATGACACCAACTCCGCCACCATATCTCCACCCCTGTCAGACATGAGTGATAATAGTGGGGATACAACGATAACCACGACCACCGCCCGTCACTGGCTACTGCATGAGGGATATTTGGTCAACAGCAGCTATGCCTTTCTCACCAATCTGTCGTACACCAAACCCCATGTCTATGTCCCCGCCAGCACTCTGCCCGCCATTGAAGATGACGAAATACGACTGGAACATGCCCCTCAACTATCCAAATCGGCCATGATTAAGGTTTACGTTTTAAGTTTGATGGCCCTCTTCTCACTGCTCGGCAATGTGCTTACCATGTGGAACATTTACAAGACCCGCATGGCCAGACGCAATTCCCGTCACAGTTGGAGTGCCATCTATTCGTTGATATTCCATCTCTCGATTGCGGATGTTTTGGTAACTGGCTTTTGTATAATCGGTGAGGCGGCCTGGTGTTACACCGTCCAGTGGCTGGCCAATGAGCTGACCTGCAAACTGGTGAAGCTGTTTCAAATGTTCAGCCTGTATTTGTCCACTTATGTGCTGGTCCTAATTGGCATAGATCGTTGGATAGCTGTGAAGTATCCGATGAAGTCGCTGAACATGGCCAAGCGATGTTATCGTCTGCTGGGTGGAACGTATATCCTGTCGTTTATTCTGAGTTTGCCACAGGTGAGTAAAGAAGGATTTTAAGGATAATTCAAATAAAATAGGAAAAAACAGACCTCTTCAGAAGATCCACTTTTCCCAATGAAAAAAGTGCCTCATTAACTGAGGCCCCTCGGATTTTTTTCTATAGAAAAAAAGTGCCTCATTAACTGAGGCCCCTCGGATTTTTTTCTATAGAAAAAAAGTGCCTCATTAACTGAGGCCCCTCGGATTTTTTTCTATAGAAAAAAAGTGCCTCATTAACCGAGGCCCCTCGGATTTTTTTCTATAGAAAAAAAGTGCCTCATTAACTGAGGCCCTTCGGATTTTTTTCTATAGAAAAAAAGAGCCTCATTAACTGAGGCCCCTCGGATTTTTTTCTATAGAAAAAAAGAGCCTCATTAACTGAGGCCCCTCGGAATTTTTTTCTATAGAAAAAAAGTGCCTCATCAACTGAGGCCCCTCGGATTTTTTTTCTATAGAAAAAAAAGTGCCTCATCGACTGAGGCCCCTCGGATTTTTTTTCTATAGAAAAAAAAAGTGCCTCATCGACTGAGGCCCCTCGGATTTTTTTTCTATAGAAAAAAAAGTGCCTCATCAACTGAGGCCCCTCGGATTTTTTTTCTATAGAAAAAAAAAGTGCCTCATCAACTGAGGCCCCTCGGATTTTTTTTCTATAGAAAAAAAAGTGCCTCATCAACTGAGGCCCCTCGGATTTTTTTCTATAGAAAAAAAGTGCCTCATCAACTGAGGCCTCTCGGATTTTTTTCTATAGAAAAAAAGTGCCTCATCAACTGAGGCCTCTCGGATTTTTTTCTATAGAAAAAAAGTGCCTCAATAACTGAGGCATCTCGGATTTTCTTCTATAGAAAAAAATGTCTCATTAAATGAGGCCTCTCGGATTTTCTTCTATAGAAAAAAATGTCTCATTAAATGAGGCCCCGGATTTTTTTCTATAGAAAAAAATGCCTCACTGACTGAGGCCCCGGATTTTTTTCTATAGAAAAAAATGCCTCACTGACTGAGGCCCCGTATTTTTTTCTATAGAAAAAAATGCCTCACTGACTGAGGCCCCGGATTTTTTTCTATAGAAAAAAATGCCTCACTGACTGAGGCCCCGGATTTTTTTCTATAGAAAAAAATGCCTCACTGACTGAGGCCCCGGATTTTTTCTATAGAAAAAAATGCCTCACTGACTGAGGCCCCGGATTTTTTTCTATAGAAAAAAATGCCTCACTGACTGAGGCCCCGGATTTTTTTTGCTATAGAAAAAAATGCCTCACTGACTGAGGCCCCGGATTTTTTTGCTATAGAAAAAAATGCCTCACTGACTGAGGCCCCGGATTTTTTTCTATAGAAAAAAATGCCTCACTGACTGAGGCCCCGGATTTTTTTTCTATAGAAAAAAATGCCTCACTGACTGAGGCCCCGGATTTTTTTCTATAGAAAAAAATGCCTCACTGACTGAGGCCCCGGATTTTTTCTATAGAAAAAAATGCCTCACTGACTGAGGCCCCGGATTTTTTTCTATAGAAAAAATGCCTCACTGACTGAGGCCCCGGATTTTTTTCTATAGAAAAAAATGCCTCACTGACTGAGGCCCCGGATTTTTTTCTATAGAAAAAAATGCCTCTCCGACAGAGGCCTGATTTTTTTCTATAGAAAAAAATGCCTCTCCGACAGAGGCCTGATTTTTTTCTATAGAAAAAAATGCCTCTCCGACAGAGGCCTGATTTTTTTCTATAGAAAAAATGCCTCTCCGACAGAGGCCTGATTTTTTTCTATAGAAAAAAAATGCCTCTCCGACAGAGGCCTGATTTTTTTCTATAGAAAAAAATGCCTCACTGACGGAGGCACCGCTCACTAATGGAGGCCCCGGATTTTTTTCTATAGAAAAAAATGCCTCACTAATGGAGGCCCCGGATTTTTTTCTATAGAAAAAAAAATGCCTCACTGATGGAGGCCTGATTTTTTTCTATAGAAAAAATTGCCTCACTGATGGAGGCCTGATTTTTTTCTATAGAAAACAAGTAAAAAAACTTTAAGTTCGGCCGGGCCAAACTTTTAATACCCTCCACCTTAGGGTAAAAGAAACATTAGAAGAAATGTGGCAAAAACCATTAAAATGTCGATTATGGGGAGGTACCGTTATATGGGGGCTATACCAAAACGTGGACCTATAATTACAATGTTTCGCCACCGGAGCTGGAACCCATTATGACCAACAAATACCGATTTTCAGACAAATCCGTGAAAAAATGTGGTAAAAAAACTAAAATACTAAATATCGGGAGGTACCTTTATATGGGGGCTATACCACAACGTGGACATGCAATGTTTTGCCACACGCTCAGGGACCCGCTATGACCTACAAATACCAATTTTAAGACAAATCCGTGAAAAAATGTGGCATAAATCATCAAAATACCGAATATCGGGAGGTACCGTTATATGGGGACTATACCAGAACGTGGACCAATATATCTCATTTTCAATACCAACCATCCTAGACACAATGCAAATAGCTCTGCTAAATTTTGGAGCTCTACGTCAAATAATGTGGGCTGTATCGTGATTTCAACAGACAGACAGACGGACAGACAGACAGACGGACATCGTTAAATCGACTTAGAATATTATGCTGATTATGAATATATATACTTTATGGGGTCTAAAACGAATATTTAGGGATGTTACAAACGGAATGACAAAGTTAATATACCCTCCTTTCCAAGGTGGAGGGTATAAAAATGCCTCACTGATGGAGGCCTGATTTTTTTCTATAGAAAAAAAATGCCTCACTGATGGAGGCCTGATTTTTTTCTATAGAAAAAAAATGCCTCACTGATGGAGGCCTGATTTTTTTCTATAGAAAAAAAATGCCTCACTGATGGAGGCCTGATTTTTTTCTATAGAAAAAAAATGCCTCACTGATGGAGGCCTGATTTTTTTCTATAGAAAAAAAATGCCTCACTGATGGAGGCCTGATTTTTTTCTATAGAAAAAAAATGCCTCACTGATGGAGGCCTGATTTTTTTCTATAGAAAAAAATGCCTCACTGATGGAGGCCTGATTTCTTGCTATAGAAAAAAAATGCCTCACTGATGGAGGCCTGATTTTTTTCTATAAAAAAAAAATGCCTCACTGATGGAGGCCTGATTTTTTTCTATAAAAAAAAAAAATGCCTCACTGATGGAGGCCTGATTTTTTTCTATAGAAAAAAAATGCCTCACTGATGGAGGCCTGATTTTTTTCTATAGAAAAAAAATGCCTCACTGATGGAGGCCTGATTTTTTTCTATAGAAAAAAAATGCCTCACTGATGGAGGCCTGATTTTTTTCTATAGAAAAAAAATGCCTCACTGATGGAGGCCTGATTTTTTTCTATAGAAAAAAAATGCTTCACTGATGGAGGCCTGATTTTTTTCTATAGAAAAAAAATGCCTCACTGATGGAGTCCTGATTTTTTTCTATAGAAAAAAATACCTCACTGATGGAGGCCTGATTTTTTTCTATAGAAAAAATGCCTCACTGACGGAGGCCTGATTTTTTTTCTATAGAAAAAAATGCCTCTCTGACAGAGGCCCGATTTTTTTCTATAAAAAAATTGATTTTTTTTCTTTGGATACCTCTCTGACAGGGGCCTGATTTTTTTCTATAGAAAAAATGCCTCTCTGAAAGAGGCCTGATTTTTTTCCATAGAAAAAAATGCCTCTCTGAAGGAGGCCCATGCCCACCAGCATCTCATAGATATTTATCTCCCCTGTGGAGCCTTTACAACTAAATTCCAATTAATCAAATCGCAACAGGACACCAAACCCCATTCGACTTGCCGACACCCCCTGTGGCGGCAAGCAGCATAATGAATTTGATGTTGTCGACAAATTAAATCTATTAAGAATCCTAATCGAAAATAAACCAAACCATTTTTGGCATTTCTGCGAATGTGGTTGCCACAATCGAGGATATTTTCGAATTAATTATTTTGTCAACAAATTTTGTGCCCTGCGGTAGCATCCATAAGTTTAATTGTTAGTAGATGCAGAATGCAATATTGATATTACAAATTGACTAAATTGAGAAATAATTCCGAGAATTTGAATAAATTTTTATTTGGTCAATTGAACACCTACGGCAATACATTTTGTGTATTTTTATATTAGAATGTCAATTTGGGAATCTAATTTTATTATTTGTGTTTGCCACCAGTGATGCTGTAATTTGTTGTTATTAAATATAAATACATAATAAATATATTTATGTATATTAAAACAAATTAAAGAGTATCAGTCGGTATTGCCGAAGTATGTATACCCTTACCCAATGTTCCATTATTTAAATATTTAAATATTATTATTTAAATACATTCTGACATCTGTTATGATTATTCAAATTTTTGACCCTCTATGTTGTAGGTTCCGAAGGAATGGGCCAATATTGTCCATTTCGTATCGGATGTAAATAAATGTGATACAAATATTGAGACGTGCCAGGTTATGTTATAGATATGTCATAATTTTCAAAAAAATATGTTAAAATGTGAGTGAGGTGCCAGATATAGTCGATCGAAGTATTCCATTTTCACATTTCATCTAATACAGATAAAAATATTGGTATAGCCGAAATTACAAAAAAAGCGAACATTTATATCAAAGTTTATGCGAAATCATAAAATTCGATAAATTACATATTCATACCAGATTTCAGGTTGAGAGAAATATTTAGAGATAGGAAGTTGTAAAGAATCGCTGACATGTTTCGCAAGTTTTGACAGATAAATGAATTGAAAATTGTAACCCTTTGTGGGTGAGGTACCAGAAGGGGCTCGCAGATATATATCATCTTCACAAGAGATCTTGCTTTAGCAAAAATTGTTGGTTGTTCGAAATTTGAAGAGAGTTGAATGCCTTTTTTTTGCTTGTTTTTCAAAACCTTGAACCCTATGTGGGGAAGGTGCCAGAAGAAATGGTTCTATCTCTACCATCTTTATAATAGCTCTTGTGTTGATGGAAATATTGAGATGTA